TTTATTTTATTTTATTATTATTATTTTTTGAGACAGAGCCTCAAGCTGTCATCCTGGGTAGTGTGCCGTGGCATCATAGCTCATAGCAACCTCAAACTCCTTGGCTTAAGCGATTCTCTTAATCCCAAGTAGCTGGGACTACAGGTGCCTGCCACAACACTCGGCTGTTTTCTGGTTGTAGTTGTCATTGTTGTTGGGCAGGCCTAGGCTGGATTTGAACCCGCCACCTCTGGTGTATGTGGCTGGCACCTTAGCCACTTAAGGTACAGGTGCTGAGCCTTCAACAATCTTTTAATACTTCAATCATTCAAAACAAGCCTCTCCACTTAGAGTGTTTAAGAATGTAATTGTGCCTTCATACCTTGGACAGACTGAATAAAGAGTTGGTCAGAGAGGAACAGGGGAGGCATGTTCTACTTTTTGACCTTGGCGGTAGATGCATTGTTCACATTATGCTTATTTATTTTAAAGTATATACATGTTTTATGCATATATGTATTTCAGCAAAAAAAAAAAAATAGTATGTGATTTTTTTTAAAGATTCCTTTATAGAAAATTTTCTAAAGCAAATTGAAGATGTCATTTAAATTTATACATTTTGGGGTGGCGCCTGGGGCTCAAAAGGGTAGGGCGTCGGTCTCATATGCTGAAAGTGGCGGGTCCAAACCCAGCCCCAGCCAAAAATAAATAAATAAATAAATTTATACATTTTAACTATCCTTTTAAAAGCTCTAAAGAGGCTTGGTGCCTGTAGCTCAGTGATTAGGGCGCCGGCCACATACACGGAGGCAGCTGGGTTCGAACCTAGCCCAGGCCAGCTAAACAACGACACAACAAAAAAATTGCCGGGCATTGTTGCGAGTGCCTGTAGTCCCAGCTACTTGGGAGGCTGAGGCAAGAGAATCGCCTAAGCCCAAGAGCTGGAGGTTGCTGTGAGCTGTGACGCCACAGCATTCTACCAAGGGAGACATAGTGAGACTCTGTCTCAAAATAAATGAATAAATAAAGGCTCTAAAGAACAGAGATGGGACAAAGGCAAAAAGGAATGAAGTCCCTGAGTGACTTTCATTCATGTCTTTCAAGAAAAAAATGTGGCTAAACAGATTTAAAATATATTTTCAGGGTAAAGTAATTAAAAATTAATACAGTTTAATCCTGCCAATCATCTCTTGCTCTAAATTTAAAGATTATTATATATAAAATAGAAAATGTATAAAATCATCTCCCTTTTTTAATATTTTCCAAGACTTTTAAGTGTCTAAAGAAATGGCACTTTTAGAGGGTCCTTCAATTTTGGACTTACAGTATTTTCCATTCCTTCCCAAATACATCACTGTGATTTTATTTGCACCAAATCACCCTCCCTGATGAGCAAACTAGGGCTCTAATGCCTCCTCTCCACTCTGCAGTCAGAAGCTATGCTTTTGAACCGTTAATATGGCACTGCTGTTCAATCTGCTCTGAGCACAATCTTAGAATACTGATTCTGTTGCTTAAGGCCATTTTATAAGTCCCCCAAACAGACTTCCATTATTTCTCTCTCCAGAAGCTGACAGTTAATGACCATCCTACTCCTAGCTAGTAAGGGAGCAGTTATTTCCTGACAGTATGTCTTTAGGTCAGCATGATTTCTCCAATTACAAGTTTATCACTGCCTATGGCGATACAAAGAGCATCTTTGCTGCTATCTCTTAGATGAGAAATAGAATCTCTCTGAGGGGACACTATCCTGTTAATTTGGCCTAGGTCATCCTCACTCACGCATCCTCCTCTTGGAGCTGTCAGTCTTCAATTAAAAACAAAACAAAACACCAGAACTGACTATGTTTGCTCCTTTTCAGGTCTGAATAACATGAGAATGATTCTTTGGTTGTCAGTTCTTATTTCAAAGTCTTTCTTAGGGAAAGAAAATTCTTATTTTAGCTAGGAATAACCACACACTAGTGTATTACAGCTGCAACAACTCTCAAAAAAGCTGTGCAAAAGAAAAATGTGACTTCTACCTCCCAAAGTCATTAGAGACTTTTTTTTTCTTATTAAGGCACCCAGAACACACAATATTATACCAAGCCAAAAGAGGTAATTTTATTCATGGAGTAGAATAGCAATTGGCTGTTACTCATTAAATTCTTACAGAAATGAGCAATGACTTTCTTTCTTATTCTGTTTCTCTTTGAATAGTAGATGAAGTTGATTTTTTTTCCAACCCTGCCTCCCATCAGCAGTATTCCTGATTTTTAGCCTGTGTAGCTGTTAATATGCTACACACACATGCTCAGCCTCCTTACCAGCCAACGCATTTAACCTTTCTGTTTATTCCACATCAGTCCCTATCTTGTTAGTGAAATTGATTTTTTTTTTCTAAACGGAATAATTTCATTTGGTACAAAAACTATATACATAAAATCCATTAGTTTCTAAATCCTTTTTGTATTTTAAAGGCTGCAGGGGATATGGGTTCTCACGTTTTAGTTGAAAAAGACATGCCTATTTGTGATAATGCCAAAAGGCGGGCTGACTACTGCTACTTCACAAATATAGTTATTGTCTCTTCTGTGTTGGGGTAAAACTGCTGCACCCCGCAATTTACCTTTATTCTCAAAGAGAAGTTAATTCCCTGATTGACCACAGGTGAAAGATTATATTTCCTGGAACTAAGTAAAACACTAGAAACTATATAAAAGAACATTGTGTCATAACTGTGTTCAAAGACACTTTTCTTTCATAATTCATCCACACTATTTTATATCCTAACTGCTTATCAACTGTACCCCTCACCGACAGAAGGTCCTAGAAGGCAGGAAGTACATCACAATGACCACAATGGTCTTGGCAGATGGTATCCAGCTAATACATATTTCTGTTAGTATTATATTCAATTCAAAAGTCTAATTCTTAATTAGCCACTGTTTTAGACTAACTGGCAAACCCACTGCCCTAATATTTATGAAATGAGTTTTAATCAGACGTTATCACAGTTCAGACAGATAGATATACCTAAGTTCAAATGCTATGTATCTAATGATCTCTACCTAAGTGCTGAGCACCTTTATGGGAGACAGCAGAAACAATGCTGAAGTTGCACATTTTAAGTCTTTTTGTTCTGATTCAGACTCTGTGACTAATTCTCGCTACCTTTGGTAAGTCACTTTAACCTAATGGATCTAATGTCAAAGATTAAGGCTGGGTACTGAACTAAATAGTCTCTAAGTGCGCAGCTGGGCCCAGCTCTAACACTCTGATTAGGCATGATTAGAAAGGTACTATGGATATAGCAGGTTTTTATCAACACTAGAGGGAGCTACATTCATGTCATCAATGGGGTGTCTTACCTCACTGAAAAAGCTTCTTTAAATGGAAAACAGACTTTTCCAGAATGAGAGAAATTCCGTATCAAGTGAGAGGTCCATACTATTCACGTAAATTCCCTGCAACTACCTCTCTCTTACAACTGCCAGGGCACCTCACTCCTGACATGCACCAACACACAGGCTTCAATTTTAATTCCATAAGAACCAACTTAGCAAATGAGTATAACTGTGATAGATGTGTTGCTTAGTTCAATGTAAACATTTCGCATTGTATATCAAAGAAGTACACTGAACCCCATAGAGGCATCAATGTACAAAGTTATGATTTAATAAAATAAATAAATAAAGCGAGGGCGGTGCCTGTGGCTCAAAGGGGTAGGGTGCTGGCCCCATATGCCGGAGGTGGCGGGTTCAAACCCAGCCCCGGCCAAAAACTGCAAAAAAGAATAAATAAATAAAATAAATAACCAGCTTGGCTTTGAATCATTCCTAAAGATAGTTTCCCCCAATCAGTCTATTTTCTTTCTTAATCAAATTAATAACAACAAAAAGCAAAGTAATTAATAGTGATATCAGAAAATCCCCAAAGAAGGAAGATAGAGGAGGAAAAAGATTCATATCACACTAAAACTGTGACCTGGGAAAAAAACAGCAAAGTTAATTATCATACAATTGAATTCATTACCAGCCTGCCGCTCAAACCCACGGTTACTTTAAAAACAAGCAAGCTACTCAAAAGGAGAGAAGATAAGAAAGCAAGGAATCAACACAGCTCTGCAATGTGGGTGATGGGACGTCCTGCTGGCCTTTGTGGTAAGATGCTCACAACTGCTAAAGAGTGCTGTTATTAATTGGACGCAAAGCAATTATATTAAACATTTGGCAAGAAGACTGTAAAGTGACACGGTAAGGGAATGGACGAGGGGTAAGGAAAGAAAAAGAGAAAACCATTTCTAAAGCTAAAGCTTACTCTGATTTACTAAATGCTCTCTTTTCCACCAATGAAAAACACCTCTGGCCTTAAAAATGTTTGACCTAAATCATCACAGAACAAATAAAATGAAGGAATCAAAAACAACTCTATTAGTATCCACTTATGTTTCTGTTTGCCTGGAGGCACAATGGCATGTTAACCTGATGGGGCACAAATCATGAATACATAGTATTGTAAAATGTAGTCTGTGGGAGAATACCACACACAAATGCAACCCTGAAAAACCCCTTTTATTTAAATTTCATGGATTAATTCAACACATAGAAAAGCAATGCATCAAAAGTCAGAAGTAAACCACCTACATTTTAGGACATGGGCTATTCCTGAGTAAAAACAGATTATAAAGCCATTTCAGAAAGTGATTTTATGGTAAAGAGAAAAACCAGCCAGAACAAGACAAACAATTATTTTCCACTTAAAAAAAAACGCAAACTTAGAGGTATGACTACGATCCAAGTAGTTGGGATGCCTAACTGTTTCTTAAATCACCAATTTCAACTACTCCAGTGTGTCAAGAGGATTTCTCTTTTCTTTTAGCAAATTAAAAGAAAAAAAATTGGAACAGCCCTTTCGATCAAAGATCCTTGTGAGACGCATGAGAAACATATACTCTACTGTGAAAAGGAAAACAATTTGTTTTCCCTTTATTTCGGACATATGCCAAAGAATTTCCAATTACCCTGCTTCATACTAACCTTTAAAACGTTTCGGCCATCAAATGATTCTCTTTCCTTGAAGATGTACTTGCCATCCGCTGTGTAGAGATTGTATCTGCCTTCAGCTGTAAATATTCCAAACATAACGTTAGAAAAGAAGCTTAGTTTATTAATCTGTTTCAACTAGCAACATTTTCATATGCTACCAGGAAAGGGGCATAACATAAAAGAAAAACACCTAGGCTATGAGTCAAGAAAGTTGGCTTTCTAGTTCCAACTCTGTCATCAAATTATTCAATATACATGTACTCATTCAACATTCTCCAAGTACTCACTGTATGCATTCTTAACTATGAAACCAGCGACATTCTTAGGCAAATTTTATCTCTTCATAGAACTCTGTTTCTCAGTGACAAAGTTAGAGGTTGAGACCAAGTGATTTCCAAAGGTTTCTTACAGTCTACAAACCTAAGATAAGCTGCATGTAATTTTCAATAGGTAAAAATAAATAAGAGTTCACACTAATGTAAAAACTGCTGGCAAACATGCTTTGGGAATGCCCCCAAAGGAAAAAATGCCATTTAGTTGCAATCAAAGGTTTCCTCACAGACATTCTACACAGCAATGCTGCAAATCTATGACCCTGACCTAAACAAGGCTGTGCTTTACCTTGTTGAGTCAATTTAGGTTTCATATCTCAAAAGTTGTCCTTAAAAGTTTACAGGGAAGGCTCGGCGCCTATAGCTCAACCGGCTAAGGCGCCAGCCACGTACACCTAAGGTGGCGGGTTCGAATCCCCAGCCCGGACCCGCCAAACAACAATGACGGCTGCAACCAAAAAATAGCCGGGCGTTGTGGCGGGCGCCTGTGGTCCCAGCTACTTGGGAGGCGGAGGCAGGAGACTCGCTTGAGTCCAGGAGTTGGAGGTTGCTGTGAGCTGTAATGCCATGGCACTCTACCCAGGGGCACAGCTTGAGGCTCTGTCTCAAAAAAAAAAAAAAAAAAAAAAGTTTACAGGGAAAAGAACATCAAAGGAAAGGGAAACAAGAAAGAAAAAAATTTAACATCATTTCATGTTTTCTTTAAGTAAGAATTTAACACAGAGAAGAGTCCAAGGAGCAAAAAATTCAAAGTATCCTCACGAATTGTTTAACTCTCAGAATATTTTCTTTTTTTTTTTTGAGACAGAGCCTCAAGCTGTCCCCCTGGGTAGAGTGCCGTGGCATTACAGCTCACAGCAACCTCCAACTCCTGGGCTCAAGCGAGTCTCCTGCCTCCGCCTCCCAAGTAGCTGGGACCACAGGCGCCTGCCACAACGCCCGGCTATTTTTTGGTTGCAGCTGTCATTGTTGTTTGGCGGGTCCGGGCTGGGGATTCGAACCCGCCACCTTAGGTGTACGTGGCTGGCGCCTTAGCCGGTTGAGCTATAGGCGCCGAGCCAGAATATTTTCTAAAATATTAATCCTTTACTGCCCACTGACAGACCTTCAAAAATATTTGTATTTCCACCTTTGAGTATGTTCTTTGACTTATACAGATGTGGAGAGAATCAAGAATGATTAAATACAGCAGAACCTTTGTAAGTTGACCACTCAAAGGACTATAACAAACTGGCCAACATAAGAAACTATGTTACGTACATGTGGTGCATGTCTGGTCTATGAAAATTAGGTCAACTTAAGGAGGTGGTCAACTATGGAGGTTCCACTGTCTATCTAGAGTTCTATCAACTCCATGAACAGAATACGTTTTAGTTACACATGGATAACTATGGAATTATTTCTTTAATGAGAAACGGAATCTTAATCAAAGATCCTAATCTGCCTATCTCACAACTTTAGATATGTGAAATTTAAAAGAAGAACAGGCCAAGTGCAGTAGCTCACACCTGCACTTTGGATGTCCAAGATAGGAGGACTGCTTGAGACCAGGAGTTTAAGACCAACCTGGGCAATACGGCAAGACTGTTTCTATAAATATATCGGAAAAGGCTCAGCGCCTATCGCTCAATGGTTAGGGCACCAGCCACATACACTGGGGCTGACAGGTTCAAACCCAACCTGGGCCTGCTAAACAGCAACAACTACAGTAACAACAAAAAATAGCTGGGCGTTGTGGTGGGTGCCTGTAGACCCAGCTACTTAGTAGAGAAGGCAAGAGAATCACTTAAGCCTAAGAGTTTGAGGTTGCTGTGAGCCGTAACACCACAGCACCCTACTGAGGCCAACATAGTGAGACTCTGTCTCAAAAGAAAAAAAAAATACTGAAAATTAGCCAGCTACGGTGGGACACACCTATAGTCCCAGCTACTAAGGAGGCTGAGAAAGAAAAATCATGTGAGCCCAGGTGTTTGAGGCTGCAGTAAGCTATGATGATGGCCCTTGCATTCCAGCCTGGGCAACAGAGTAAGAGCCTGTCTCCAAAAACAAAAGTAAAAGAAGAAAAAGTAAATTAATACCAAAAAATATCAACTAAAAAGCAGAAATCATATCTGAACATTGACATATTTAATGACAGGTCCAAAATCTATTAAGTAGCATTAACCATTAGGAAAATGCAAATCAAAACCAAAATGAGATAAAATTTTACACCCACAAGGATAGCTATAGTGACAAATAAAAAACAGATAATAACAAGTGTGGACAAAAATGTGGAGAAACAGAAATGCTCATGTACTGCTGGTAGAACATAAAATGGTGCAGCCATTTTGGAAAATAGTCTCAGTCCCTCAAAAGATTAAACATGCTGTTACCACAAGACCCAGAAATTTCACACCTGGTAAATACCCAGGACAACTGAAAACATGCCCACACAAAAACGCGCATATGATGTTCATAGCAGCATTGTTCATAATAGCTCAGAAATAGAAACAACACAAATGTCTGTCCACTGATGTCAACTGTCATATTATTCAGTAACAAAAAGGAATGGAGTACTGATAGATGTTACAGTATGGATCAACCTTGAAAACATGCTAAGTGAAAGAAGCCAATCACAAAGATCACACTGTGTACAATTCTATTTATATGAAATACCTAAGAGGGGAAAATCTACAGACAGAGAGCAGACTGGTGTCCTAGGGCTGGGGAGTGGGAGGGGTGAGGTAGGAAGAAATGGGGAGCAACTGCCAATGGATATGGAGTTTCTTTTTGGGGTGACAAAATATGTTCTAAAATTGACTGTGGTGGTGGTTGCACAACTCTGATTATACTAAAACCCACTGACTTGTACATGGCAAATGGGTGAACTACATAGTATGTGAATTATGTCTCAATAAAGCTATTATACTTAAAATACCTACAAGTAAGAAGGGATAACTAGACTGTGAACACATTTTCTCATATAAAGCTGTGAATACAAATCTGGATCCACACAATTCAGAATATATAGATTCCAGCAAAACTGAACTCCATGATTAGTTGATAATGGAATATGATATAGTTTTAAGAGCTCTGAACAGAGACTTAAGGACTAAAATGCACTAGTAATAGCTATTAAATAGCTAATGAAATATTGTTTATACATGTACTGTCCAAAATAGCACTCACTATCCAGACAAGTTTATTTAAATTTAAATTAATTATGGGTAAATATAAATTAAAGTTCACTTTCACAGTCTCACTAGCCACCTTTCAAGTGCTCCATAATCACACATGGCTGGTGGCTGCCATACTGCCCATCATAGATACAAAATATTTCTATTATCACAGAAAGTTCAATTGTATGGTGCTAGATATACTATGTCATCTGAACCAATGAATTTACAGTGTACTTTAGTGTTCTGAAACTCTGCTTTCACATAATGATGTTAAAATATTTATCACCTCAGGAGATCTCACTGTTTTCCAAAATTAAAACTGTCTGAAATAAAATAAACAGGTAGGGCAAAGTGGCTCACAGCTGCTACCCTAATACTTTGGGAGGCTGAGGCAGTAAAAGATCACTTGAGCCCAGGGGTTTGAGGTGGCAGTAAACTGTGATAACACCATTGCACTCTAGCCAGGGCAAAAGAAAAAGACCCTGTCTCAAAATAAACAAACAAGCAAACAAACAGATAAATAGAAATGTACATGTAAATAAGTGAATGGATGAATGAATGAATGAATGAGTGAATAAATAAATAAACAGCATAAACCTAGATAAATGTTTCCACTGGACAAGCTACATTATAATATGTAGATAGCTCAAATATTCCAACCTTTTGCTGTACTACTAACCAAATGAAAGCAATATGCTCCACTGGAACAAGTTCAAAGCTCTGTATTCGATTAACTACCCAAACAAGAGTTTATGGACTTTGCCTGAGTCATCTCAACCTCTTTTGGTCTTAGTGCTCTCAGAAAAGTCTCAAATAAAATTCAATACATCATCATAAAACATTAACATTTTAGAACTAATAACTAGAAGGTGAATGTTTCTTGGTCCTACAATGACTCTAACCAAATAAAGTTAATATTAAAAATTTCCAGTTGGAATCTTTAGTATAAATAAAAAGATGTACCTTTACAAAAAGAGACACAAATTGCCCTAAATTAAAAACCCATGAATAGTCAATGGGTTCAAGACCTGATAAGAGTCTTATTCCAGCCTAGATTTTCTATACCCAAGGTCAGGGCCCTAAAAAAGGAAATAAAATGTGAATATAGGATTTTGGTGCTCATATATTTTAAAGAACAGATTTGGAGAGGAAAAGTTGCATACAGGTTCAATTTATGCCCCTTGATCAGATGCTGAATGTGCTAAAGAAGTGTTCACTTTGGAAGTGGGACTGGGGGAAAAAGTCCTTTTTCAAATAAATAATTATCCACTCAAAGATTAAAACAAAGCATTGTTATCCAAAGGCTGAGATTTCATGAGGAAAAAAAATTATTACTCTAAAGCAGCAGTTCTCAACCTGTGGATTGCAACCCCTTTGGGGGTCAAACTACCCTTTCACAGGGGTCGCCTAAGACCATCCTGCACATCAGATATTTACATTACGATTCCTAACAGTAGCAAAATTACAGTTATGAAGTAGCAATGAAAATAATTTTATGGTTGGGGGGTCACCACAACATGAGGAACTGTACTAAAGGGTCACAGCATTAGGAAGGCTGAGAACCACTGCTCTACAGCAACATTTCTCAACCTTAGTGCTACTGACATCTTGGGAAGAATAATTCTTTGTCTTAGAGAGCCATCCTGTGCCTCTATCCATTAGATGCCATTAACAACTAACCTCCAATGTGATAACCAAAAATGTCTCTAAACAGTCCCAAATGTCCTCTGAGGGGGGCGGGGCTAAACTGCCTGCAGAGGTTCCACTGGTCTAACATTTATTGATCTTCCTTTCTTCTTTTTTTCTCTTCAAAGATAGCCACAAAGCATTGCATGGGACATATTTATACTAAAAAATTATTCAGGCT